CTGCCCAGAAAGGTTGCTGTAAATAGCTTATATATGGGAGTAATAGGATTACAGTACATTGTAGTTGGTTGAGACAGACTGGTAAAAACAATAGTACATGTATTTGATCAATATCAATCTTTTGTATGTTAACTAACTCTAAACTGGCCAACTTAAAACATGTTTCTGTTATTTAGCAGATTACAAAGAAGTGGTTTCCCAAGAGGTTAATGTCTGGCACAACCATTAATTTAGAATGAATTGGTGCATCAGTACCTTGCTCATACAAGAATTCTAGGAGTAATGGTAATAAATGTTTCTGCTTAATAAATAGGTATACATTCATTATTTCAAAATGCTTACAGAAAAAGTAGAGCTGGTTAATATGTGGGTGTGTGATATGATGTGATTGATACTGAACTGTAACTTTCTATTCATATAGCTTACCTCTGTCCAACATAAAGTTTACCAATCTTTTCTGTCCACTTACACAAGCACACTGGAAAAAAAATAGAAACATTAATTTCCAAAATATCTGATATTTATTGTTGAGGATTTTGTATTGTGGTTGCATTTATTACAAAGCAGGTCAGTCAGCCAGTCAACTATAAAATTTAATTTCTATCCATAATATAATTTTTATATTTGAAAAAAAAAAAATTCATGATTTTGTTACCAATCTCAGGTACTTGATTCTCAAAAAATGGTTATTCCTAAGACAATAACATTAAAAGTATGCAGAATATGGCATTTAATTTTCAATTGCTTCAACCCTATTGAAAACAAAAGTTGTTAGATTGTTCACCAATAGAGAGCGCTTTTTGATCCAATTTGTCCAGTGGACAAAACATTTACAGTTTCTATTATTTTGAGCACCCAATTCATTCTAAAAAAATTAAATGTATTATGAATTATGCATTTTGTATTTAAGGGAAGACAAATGTACCTTGTTTTTTATTGTCTTGGGTGTAAATTTAGTTGTGTAGGTGAAATTCTTGCTAATCATATTATGGCAAATGTATTTATTTTTGTCCAAAAAAATGAATCAGTTTATTGAATCAACCAAAAAGGAGTTTATTAATTCATGTTTATGAAAAAATAATTATTTTTACGACCACGAATTGTTTTTTCTGTAGCCTAGTTTCACAAATTTTCTTGGATTTTGACCTGGATGAAAAGATAACTACATTAACTAACTTACCAGAAAAAGAGTCATTCCAGCATCAGACACTACATGGTTTACATCAATACTTTGTTCTTCTACTAAAAATTTTACCAATTCAGTGTGACCAGGTTTGTATGCTGTCTAAATAAGAAGAGTGCATCATATAATGATTGTAGGGATATAATAAATGACTGTACCAGTTATCAACAAATAAACCTGGCTAAAAATATATCAGAATTTTTTTTTTCTGACCCCTCCTACTAATCATTTAATAAAAATATCCACAAATGAGAACAAATCTACAAAAACACTTGCCTATCAAGTAATGAGGGAATCATCAAGAATATACATAAATTATTGTATTTTATTATTATAGGCGACAAAACATGTGTTTTCATATATATAAGATATTCTGTTGTTTTTTGATGTAGCTGATGGAAAGCAATGTTTATTATGTTCACATACAGTATATATTTTGTGATACATATTCTCAAAAGCCATTTCAAGAAAATTTTTAACTATATGCTTATTTCAGTGTACGGCTTTAGTATTGTGCCTTTGTCAGTCAGACTGCAGATAATCTCTTTCAGTTAGAAAAATACTGGCAATTGAAGGGAAATTTGGTTAATCCAAAATAATGTGTAATCTAAATATTAACTTAATTTTCCGGCCATTTTGCCAAAAATTAATTTGAATGTATAGACATCTTACTGAATACTGTAACTCTGTAAACCATAGCGATATTAACTTTGAATAGTCGTCACTGTATTCACTGGTGTGACAAGACAAACAACAGGGGGAGAATTACTATTTCTGTATTATTTTTTTCAACACTGACAAATACAGCAGCCTTCTTAACTTTGTAATATTTTCTCCATATACAGCTCGATGAAAACACACTTGAATAGGTATAGCGCCACCCAGTGTTCAAATTACACACAATTTCATCCATCATACTGAGCTATTTATTTGTTTATATGAATAAACATTTCACATCTTATAATTATAGATTTGTGTAAATGCAAGCTCCACTCATTTTTTTCGGTAGTTTTTCAGTTGTTTTTGGCCAATCAAACATAATGAAATGTGATTTTATTGGGATTGTCTTTTCCTAGCAATGTCGGAATGACAATTAAAATATTTTATTTTTACATTTTATGTATTGATTACTACCAGTACAAGTTTTTAAATTGAGTACCTTGCAAGTGAATAAATTTCTCACAAAATTATAAAATACTTTAGAGCTATATTGAGAAATATTATATGTACCTTTGCTAAATCATACACATCTCCTTGAACTTGTTTACAAAATACTTCTTTTTTTTTTCTGCCTAAAAGAAACAATAATTATAAATTAAAACCGTAGTAATAAAAACAAAATTTACAATTATAACCAGTGTGAAGGAAATTTCATTAAATTTGTTGTACAACACTGAATTCACCTTTTTTTTACTATTCTATCTCATTGCAGAATGGGAAGCTGAGAAATCTACAAGAAATTTATGAAGTTGAAACAATCCAAGCTACACTGGTAGTCTGTTTTTATTTTCAAATTGTAGAGGGCGCTTTGTCATACATCTTATAATTCCTTTGAACATCGTGTTTGCATATAAGAACAATAAATACATACCTGAGAATGGAAATAAATATTTGAAGATGCATACAATAAATAACATGAATAGCATTATAGCAATGAAGTTGATCCATCCATTCTCACGTCTGATTGCGTCTGAAATAAGATGATATTATTGTGTGCTTATACTAAGATCAATATTGAAAAACAACAAATTTATTAAAAAGATACAGTAAAGAGATACAGATAGAGCATTAAATTACTGTGCACTGCCAATTATTGAAATGACACAATCTCATTGGTAGATTAAAATTGGTACCACATGCATGTCTTTTCATCAAAAGATAACTAGGTCAATGCTTGAACAAGACAAAATATATTGCATGCATCATCCTTTATACTTCCTAAGTTTCAGTAAATTATCGGTTTAGGCATGATAATACTATTCTGAAAATAGAAAATAATTAATCTAATGATTTGTTGGTGCAACATTTTATGTATGGAAGGGAACATTATGTAGTCAGCAATCAAAATGCTTTAGTTGATAAATGCCTCCAATATATTCTATTCTATTTATAATTCCATAAAAGTGAGGCCTTTCGAATAAATTTATATTCCACATAAATCAGTTATGATTAATCATGAGCAGAGAGGGTGGTCTCCCCTAAAAACAAATGTTGGGGGCATCGTCCCCTCTAAAATCAAGCTGAAACCCTGCAAAATTTGCCCCTCAAAATGCAGAAAATAGCATTTCAAAAGGTCTAGATTTCAAAATTTTTTAGGGGGAGTATGCCCCTGGACCCCCTAGTAAGGTTGCGCCTTCAACTCGAGGGATGAGAAGATCTTGTTCCTCCATGCAAAATGTTGTGGTGTGTCAATATACACTGCACACCTTTAAATCTCATCAATCCTTGGTACAAATGTAAAACATACCTGTATCCAACAAATTATCCATGACTGATTTGGTGTAAGCAGATAGTAATGACCATGAAGCTTGTAGGTTTGTTACTGTAGTACCATTTACATATTGTGTGATGACACTACAGACTTTCTTAATATCTGGGTAACCAGCATTACGAGTAATATAATCCATACAGAACTGAAAATGTTCTTCTATCCAAATCCAAGGAAGTATCATTCTGTTAGTTCTGTAAAAATTTGGTTATATCTTAAAAAATTGAACAGCTCAAACTTTAGTCAGTTGCAATGAAAAATAACTTTTATAAATCCATTCATTGCCAATAAATAGTCTTTTTCTATGTATTGATACAAAATGTATAGATTGGTCTTCCTTCAGCTCTACAGTTTGAGTGAGTGAAATAACTCAGGAACCACACCCACCAAAGTCAGTTCGATACTTGTTCATTTGCAGTGGTTATTCACGCGACTGAAAACTTGTTTAATTTCAATATGTGTGATAGATTGTCGGTTCCAAATTGTCAGTTCCAACTGTTTTTTTATTGAACATATATATATCTGAAATAAAATAGTGATGCACTCGGGGTTGGGGTGCCGCCATTGAAAATGTGTACCGGTATATACATTTCTATATGTGCACAAATCTAGCATTCATTACTGAAATTATGCATATTATTCTCCAAAATCGCTAAAAAGTATAGTTCACACCATAAAAATTGTCAAATCCGACAGAAAAACAGCCAATGTAATTTTCGATGTAAGTCATAAACGTTGTCGAAAAATACCCATAGTCTGAGAAGAGATGACTAGTACATTTTCAGCAAAAGTGTCTGGAAGTTAAGGGGTATCTTTTTTTTGAATTCTGGCTGAAACGGGTATATACAGGTGCTGATGGCACATTCTTATAATTTTTTCCAATGAAGTATCTTCCATACTTGAAACAAATCAGTAACTTATTTACTACAGGTAACCACATTGTTCGTCTTTTGTTCAAGTTGTCGTAACAAACCTTCTCTCTTGAGATTTTGTCAACTGTTTATCGAGAGGCTGACTTGCATGTGCAAAAAAAAATATAATTAAACGCTCTATTAATACTAACCCGCTTCTGAAACCACATGTATATATTTCGAACCGTTAGTCGTCTGCTGCATGCGCTGTCTACTGAAACAAAATACACATGAAGCTGTGACGTCATAACAACGTGGTCTCCACGTCATATACAACTAGATTCCGGAAGTGATTATGTTCCCGGCATGTTCTGTTGTGCTAACCAAACGAGTTGTGGTCATCAAATCGATAACGGTGTGCACTCAGTTTTTATCGCGGGTAGGTAGTTTTGTCTGTCGTCCACCTTACTCGACCGACATGGCGGCAGTACATCTCTACCCCGAGATCAATCCATACAACATTGGTCGTTTAAAGGTTGACCATGTCCATGAACTCTACTATGAGCAAAGTGGAAAACAAAACGGTAAACCAGTTTTATTTTTGTAAGTAAATGCATAATTTTATATCTAAATTATTTTAATTTCATCAAAAAAATAAGTTGTACTGTAAGTCTTCCATTTACCTTACACGTATTGCACTTAATTGATCGTTCACGTATTTTTGTATGAAGGTCATATTGTTTACAATTTCTAACAATACGAATCACTGCATATGCAAACATGTATAACTATATACTATAGAATACTTTATTTTCGCTTGAAATCTATTTTCGCTGAAGGAATGCTTCAGTGAAAATAAAATCCAGCGAATATACTTTTTTCCTATCTTTCACATTCAACTCAACAAAAATCAGTGAAAATAAATCCCATACGAAACACCCAAAAAGCCTTTTCAGCAAAAATTAATTCCAGCTAAAATAAAGTATTTTACAGTATATAATTTCATCAAAAATCCATACAATGTAATTCTACTATTAATATAACAATTGCTAACATGAAAAACAAAAATATGTACTGGGGTAATTCCCTCAAATTTGTTTCATGCATACATGTATTTAATAATTTAATAATAATTTATAATCATCATCCAGTATGTGAAAACAATAACAAATAAAGTTCAAGCAAATCTGAATTCATTTTCCATATTTTTTTATTTATGTATATTTGCATGTATCAGTAAACCATATTGAAATAATGAAAGTAATTTACATATCAAACACTCAAAAACTTTTTTCAGTATTTCAGCAGATCTTATCTAATTGAAGAACAAACTCTGCACTGTAAGGAATGTAGATTTCATATTTGTTGAAAAGCAATGAATTTTATGAAAATTAGGCAGCACATAAACCTGGCAAATGTAGTGTTTTTCTGTTGTTTTTTTTTCACATATACAGACATGGTGGACCAGGCAGTGGTGTTAACCAACATGATAGGCGATTTTTTGATCCAAATATTTATCGCATTGTTATGTTTGACCAGCGTGGAGCTGGTAAATCAACACCAGCTGCAGAATTGAAGGCAGGTCTTTTTTGTTGTTTTTATAGGAGTGTTATCATTTCATATTAAGAGGGGGGCGGTAATGGATGGAAGAGGCTGTATTTTTTCCACACACCTCTGACAAGTGCATCTACATATACACTTTTAAGCTCAATTCAGATGCCATCGAAAACCAAAAACTTATGTATTGACCTTTATGCGGACATGCATGTGTATGGGAGCATGCATCCGCCCCTACATCTTGAACATGCCTGGATCTGATTCAAGATAGCCGAATGGAGGCTATTTTTGTGCTGAAAAATCATCGAAATCAAGCATTTCTGGCATTCCAGAACAGGATCTCAGTTGTTTATGGATGGATTTTGTTCAAATTTGGTACAAACATTAGACACTGAGTCCCTAATGCATGTCATTTTGTTTTTCAGATCAAATTTTAAATGGCTGACTGGCTGCCATTTTGTTTTAATGAAGCGGTTTTGGAGCCATATCTCTAACATGCTTTGACTGATTATGTTCAAAATGTATATATTCATAATACAGCATGTCATAGATATACAGATCTATTCAAAAGGGCCGACCAGTGGCCACTTTGTTTCAATTAATGCTGTTCCAGAGCAATATATCTCTATATGGACAAGTACTTGTTTGATGATCAGATACAAGACGACTGAATGTCAACCACTTTAATGTTAAAAAATCATCATAATCAAGCATCAGCTTCTGTATCCATATCGCTGACATGTTTATATTCCAACTATATTACTATAAACACAACTATATATCTTAAATTTGATAACTAATGACACTGACTACAGTGTACAGTACTATGAATTCAATTTTTTAAACCTTGTTTTGTCTACCAGTAGAATGTTTCGGCTAATCTTTTGCTAGTGATCAGTTGCCAATTTAGATTTAGATAATTTAAAAAAATGTCCTGTCATCTCCTTCTGAAAAGTAAAAAAATGTAATAAGTATAATATTTAATTTTCTAATTTTAATGAATATTCATTGATTAGTTTCTCTCTGTTTGTAACTACATGGGTTAACCAATGTTGCTATTTTACCCAGAGTGGAAGCCCAATATATAATTTGAACTGAGTTGAACATATACTCTCCGTTTAAGCTGGAAAATATTGAAGGTCTTCCATACATGTAATTAAAACATGGTCTTGTATACTAAATTAATGTTTCTTTTTAGTCAAATTGGAAATTTGATTGATTTCACTAATTAATCCATTCGTATGTGTGCTTTTTTTTATGAAAATGAGTGGATATTTTTTAATATGACTATTATTTTTATGAGAGATATTTTCAAGGGGATTATCTGAGCCCAGGACTTGTTCAAACAAAGTACGTAATATCAGTAGCATTGAATTTCAGTACATATATTCTACTCAATGCTTGCAGATATAAGGCATTGAAACTACTTTCATGTGAATCAATTTGTTGTGTATTTGACGAGAACTCGGTAGGACAGTGTCAGTTTGCTTGTTCACACATTAGGTGATGTTGTTTCTGGTCAATTCTATACTCTAAAAACAAGTAACCTGTAGAATACTGTGTGGGTAATATTTTTTTTATTGATTTTTGTTGCATTTGCAGCAAATAGTTACCAAACAATGAGAAATCTATAGGATTGAATATACCCCACAGCTGGCTTCACATGCATTGTTCATAGTTCATATGGTGCTTACACCAGGATTTAATTACAGCACCTAGGCGGTATGTTTTTACAGCTTAATGTTCGAGTAATCGCAAGAAATTGACATGACAATAGAAATTCATTAAAGACTGCCACTCCCATGCAATTAACAGCGAGTGAAATTCCTGGGATTGAAACATATATTTTGAAGTCACTGATGTAGGCAACGAATAACTGCAAGTTGACATAAAGACGAGGTAGTTTATTTAATCAGTGGTCAACTAAAGGCTGAAATTATAATTAATTTGTTTATTTCAATTTCTCCTGACGTCAAATAGAATACACTGGTGAAACACGGTAGTAACTGTGGGTGAAAGGATGTTTTGGGGTGTAGTTTACATTGTATATGGAGTGGTAGGTTCGGGTGTAATGTGTTCATTTCCAACTATTATGAAGTCACGTAGAATTTCACTTAATTTATTTTTGCTGACATGTTTTCAAGCATTACATGTGAATCCAATTTTCACTGTGCTGTGTCTCAATATAGTATGAGGGAAATGGCATATTCACTGGAATTTATTTCAGGGGAAAAATGTTTTCAGTGATAATGAAGTATTATGACAGATACCCTCCCCGTGGCTTTCATTGCGTATGCAAGTTATGCAAGTATGCAAGTTCTCCCAATCCTAGTATTCTATGTGATGTACATCTAACATGCCAAAAATGCTGGTGAACGATTTGAACCTGACAAAAATACTTGAAATAGATACCAGGAAGGGGAGGGGGGTAAAAGAAAAGTTATATAACATTTTATTATTCAATAATTTATTAAAATACACAAGTTTGTCCAACTCCCTGTGATACAACACCTCAGACATAGCTCATTGTACTCGGCTGGAGTGTGGGCAAAAAGTTACTATTTGAATTTTTGATATCTTTTTTCATTAATGAGAAAGTTGACCCCGAAGTTAGAGTAACTGTTCAGCAGGAATGGCTTTTTAACTCTTCTGTGATTTTTTTTGGCTTGGCTGATTTTGTCACGGTTCATACTTGACAGGCAGGTCGTACCATCACTAATTGGAAAAACAATCCTGACCCACCGCTACCATGGCAACAGCCAAAGTCTTGTAATAGCAGTGCCCAAATGATCATGCCTTTATTTTGGCTACGTTGCGCACTGGTAAGAGATCACCGGCGCCGACATTGTTACTACTGTCAACGGAATCCCAACGCAGCTTTGAACTTTGAATAAAATGTAAATGCTGCTTCCAATCTAGAAAATACTATCGCAAAACGATTGGAAATTATACATTTAACGGTTGAATACGTCCTAACAATAAAATAAAGTGACTTCTAATGACTGCCATGTTATTTTGCAAACCTCGTATAAGGTGCCCGGTTTTAGCACAGGGAGCCCAGGAACTATAATCAACTGTAGTACGCAGTGTTTATGAGCGGGGGGGGGGGGGTGTTATCGGCTGGTATCTAGTGTAAGAAATAGACTATTTTGTAAACAAATTTTCGTCTGCTATTTTTATTCAGTTCAAATCGTTCAGCAACATTTTTGGCATATTAGGTGTACATCACATGGAATACTACGATTGAGAGAACTTGATGTATGTTGACTGAGTTTTATCATAGTACGAAGTACCAGGAAGTTACTCAGTTCCAAATAAAGATTACCAACGTCAAATGAGCAACATTTGACTGGTAATCAAGATTCATGTAATCCATGGCTAACAAGCAACATCACAAGCGAAGTTGTAGCATGCAGTAAGTCATCCCGTCAGTGGAGTACCGCAGTAACACGGCATGTTTGCCATCAGCATTGTATTCAAACGAATCACGTGGTGTGCCGTTCTCGTTCAAACCCGGGATTCGATCAATAGGGGAGTCCCATTAAAAAAACACATTGCAAATCATGCAAGTTCAACATTTTCAAACCAATATACTAAAACAGAAATGCTCAGAGATGTAAATGAAGATAGATATTACTTTTCACTATACACATCTCTGTTGATACTATCCCTCACATATTCTACTCCCAATTACTCCTGCGTAAAATGGACTAGCCTCTTCATGTTGACATTCAGACTAAAATCACGGTGACAGGCTGTAA